TATATATATATATATATATATACACTCAAGATATCTATGGATTCGATCAATGTATAGGATATAATGAATGCCATGATTATTTCATCGAAAATGAAAAGCGTCGACGAGAGGCGTTTTTAGTAATTTATGAATAAGAGAAGGACGACGAATTCGAACAAGTCCTCGGCGGACAGAGATGCACGGTCACGTATCGGAATATTCTTGCGTGTATTTTCATCGTTTCGATGCTTTTACCGCTCGAATTTATGGAAAACTGGAATGAATACAGCAAATCCTGGTATTCTTCCGCCCTAGCTTTCATAATTTATAACTTGAAATGTATCTCGTCCTCTTGATATTTAAAACTCGAGGAAAAATGTATTTCTTAAGTATTCTTCTTTCAAGGCAATGATTTATCAAGGTAAAATTGATCGGTTAAAGTTTTTTAATAAATTTATTCGAGTAATTTATTATTCGAAGCAATCGTAACGTTGTCGCGTCTTCGACTTCGTGACGAGCAAAATTTGAATGATTGAGGTGAGAACAAAGTTTAACGACTTAAGTATAGTGTCCTTGGAACTCGATTTAGAGCTCGAGCAACCTTGACAAGTGTTGATTACTATTTGTTTTTCTGAGAGACTGCCTCGAGTTTAGCTTTTTTAATTCTTCTACTAGATTTCGTAGATAAAAAATCATCATAAAAAAATTTTGCATGCTCTCGTGACTCACTCTTACGATTTAACGATATCTCGCATACTTTGACTATGCTATCGTAACATCCGTTCATTCCTTGATTATAACACGCATCACGTATAAGCACATACACGCCCCTTCGTTAATTAATTCTCGTGAAATTTTGTTTTGCATTTAACGAAGCATATGATCGCGAATATTAAAGAAAGAGCGATTAATTATGTTTCTCTTTAAGACGAACGAATGTGTTGAAGAAATATTATTCAAAATTTTCTTATTTATTTTTCGGTTCATTAGCGTCCATCTCTGGATATAACCTCTGGCGAAACATGCTATTGTCTCGAAGAAAAAAACGCGAAACGAGAGAGAAGATAGATACACGAGGTACGAAGAGAAAGTCGTAAAACGTCCAAGTCCGTCCAACGCAGGACAACGTGTTAATAAAAATCGTGTTTTCTCTGCTCTTACATTCGCTAGCTACTGTACCGTATCATCTACCCGATGTTGTTCTAGCTGAAACGTTTAATTTACTCGTGCCGTGCATTCCAGTATGGAAGAACGGAAATGACGGTGTTTCATAAAGATCCGAGTTCACCGTATTCATAAAAGAGTATTTTACGGCGGATGCGCGTAATTTCTATTCTTTCTCCTCTCTCTTTTCATTAGCCGCGCACATTTATTTGGATTTACTCGAAAATACTTCGATTTCTTTTTTTTTTTTCTTCTTTCACTTCCTTAGCGCTTTTAATTCTCATTGTTTCGCAACTTGTGCGGGAGAACCGAGTTATTTTTTTTCATAAATAATCGCATTGCAAGTTTAATTTATACGAATACGTTTCTTATCTATGTTTTAAATAAGAATCGAATCACTGATGTATACATTTTCGATAGATATTCGTAAAAATTATTCTACGATTTCGATGATTTTTTGATACGTTGTTTATTAAAAAGTTACTTACCTAATATAACTTAATTTAATTGAAATCTAATATAAAACTAAAAATTGAATAAATTTTTGTTTCATATCGATATTTGAATCAGAATTAAATAGAAAGTCGTTTAACCGTTAGGCAATTTAATGGTTGAGTTAACCTAACCTAAATTGTTTTTGTTACATTAAAAAAATCATCAACACGAAAGCTAATATCTTCTTGTGAATAAGTATCAATAATTTTCAAATAAGAATTGACTTTTTATTAGAGATTTTTCAATTGTTAATTCTATTCTCGCAATTTTCTTCCAAACATAATTTAATTTAAATCTTCGAAAGTAATGGCATATTCGTGCTAAAGTTCAGCTCAATGTTCCCTGTGCTTAACTGTGCTTTATGTAATTTACATGAGACTGCGGATTCAGAATATACGAATATACTTTTCCAGAAACACAGGAACCATTTATTTATCGTAGATGATTTACACATATCATTAAACGTAACGTACAATCTTGTTCCAATGTCTGTTATAAATATCGTATCACAATTTCACAAATTTTTTAACATCGTAATTCACTTCATGTGAAAGAGAAATTAGCACGAGGCTTTATTAGAAACACGAACAAGTTCGTTCCTCTACGCAGTTCTGCAACGTATAGTTGTCCGCAGAGGTAGGCAAGTTCGATCCACTCGGCTAAGTGGAAGGGAATTGGGCGGGCAACTGTTCTTACCGACCGAGTAAAACTTGAAAGTGATTGTGAGTCAGTTGGAGATATCGTTTAGGCGGGGGTTGGGGAGTCAGAGGCTGTTTTTAACACGATTGCCTGCGCTTGGATATCAAGTGCGGATCCATTCGCGTAGACGTATTGTCGATAATTAGAAATTTCGTTAATTAAATTTAATGGTATTTCCATTTGACGTATTCGTTCTCAATCAAATATTCTATTGATATTATAGTTTTGATGGAAATATTCGTATAAAACAAAATTAAAAAATATATTTTTCGTATATCTTCGATCGTTTAAATTCAAAATTAAACTTTTATTCCTATTCGCCGAAAATGCGCCAAAGTATTCACGATCGCTTTGATCGTTCCATGTAAAATTCTCTTTCTATTCCAAATATTGACCATTGCAGTCTCGTGTTTCGTTTCACCGATTTTCCTTTCGCTTTGTTGAAAAAGAGAAATACTTCCTCAATCTTGCGATTAATTTTGAATAATTATCCGAAAAAACATATACTTGATTCACGTAATCGTACTAGTTGTAGAAAATTATATGCTATATTTATCCAACAAAAAAATTTTATTTTTAAAAATGTTTTGTTAGTAAGAATCTGGTTCTTCGATAAGAACGAGTCCTTGTAAGATCGTTGCCAAAATCTGTCGATATTTTTAGAAATAGGTTTATGTACATTGTCAATGCCATCATCTTTTGCCATCCTTCTTTCGGCCTATCAGCCGGAATCTCGTTGGACGAAGGAGCCATAAGCGAGAACGAGAAAGTTTAAATTGCGCCTCGACCCGCGTCTATCGTGCCTTGGTTGTCGTTTATTCGGCTGGTTGGAAGCCCATTTCCGATTGAAACTGATCCCGTCCACGCCACTCGGAACTTTCTTTCGCCTCATCCTCTATGGAATAGCTTCTTCCAACTTTGTCATCCGCTCTTACTTTAATTTCAACGAGATACTTTGATCGTGATCGTATTTTTTTTATACATATTTATCAATATATAAATACGTACAATTTATATATATTCTATAATCAAATCTATCGTATCAGGTTTCTTAAATATTTTTTTTTTAATAGAATACATCGAAAATTTGATAGAATGACGGAACTCGTGAATTAGATTCGAACATGGAGAAATTCCTTTCGAATTTATCGATCAAAAAAGAAAAAAGATACTTTTTTCTTTTTACTCAAAAATTGAATATTTTAATAAAGAATGAATTTAAAGATATTTTCATTCGTATCATTGAATGTATATACGCAAAGATACGATTCGTATCTTGTATATTTATCCATGAATTGCGTACGATCGCTGTTTCGATTCTGTTTTGTTTTTCCCCTCTTTTCAAACCGTCCTGAACGACACAGTGAGCTCAGTGTAATGGAACAAAAACATCGGCCCGAATATCTATATAACATAGCTTATTTCTGTTTCCTTTATTAAATATATTTTTTTTTTATTGTATATTCTTTATTCTAATCGAATCATTTCATAATATATTAATAGATATACAATTGTGCAATGAAATTATTGCCATTTTTTTACGATTCTACACACGGATCTCGTAAATAAAAAAATTTTCGAATATATTCATCTCGTTTTTTAAGTAAGAGTAAGAATAAGAAGAGAGATCTTAAAAAATCTATAAAATATCGACGGATTGGTGAGATATTTCCACGTTTGAGTAAAAGTAAAGAAGAGCGATTGAATATCCGGGAAGTGAGGGAAGGTTAAAGAGACAAAGGGAGAGATGCGGATTTTTACGGTTCGACGTGATCCATGGAAACAGATTTGACGTTTTTATGACGGCGGTCGATCGTTTAACGTAATTTCATAAAGGCATTGTCTGCGTTCTTCCTCTTTCATTCGATATTCAGAATCTGATTGAATATTTAATTCCGCTCGATTTCACGTTTCATATCCCCTAATATTAATCTAAATTCCTTCTAATTCTCGATTGTTGTACGAATAAAATTTATCGGAATATGATAATTCTTCTTAACAACTAAACATCGAGAATTGATGGATTTTATTTTTTTCTCTCGCAATTTCATCGAGAAAAATTAACATAATATCGTAATTTTATGTACAGCTAATTATGTAGCTAATTTATTTTCGTGATTAATTAGATTCGTTTAAAATGGATACTTTATACGAATAGTAATAGATTTTAGCTTTTTTTAGATTTTAATGGTGATAGTTTTATTTGGAGGGAAAATGACGAGATATGTAAAAACTAGAGGAAAATATATGATGAAAAAT